GAACGGTGGAGTTATGATCCCGGACTGGGGACAGCAGTAATTGATCCTAATGGATTGAGCATGGTGGTTTTAATGTTGAATGTTTTATCATGTTTTTATATGTTTTTACCCTCGGCATGGCTGTTGTCCTGCCCATGTTAGCCGCCCTGAGCCCACTGGGGAGGGCGGGATATAAATGTGAAAAATAAATAAATAAATAATTAATAAATAAATAGAAGCCACCTGGGGTCACCAGTGGGAACGAATTAAGTAAGTAAATAAGTAAATAAATGGGAGTGTAAATCCATCAGGCTGCTTTAGCAGCAGAGAGTGTCTCTGCGGAGGGAACTGATTACTGGTTAGGTCGGACCTTGTTTCGACTGCCCTTTCCGCATAACCCTTCCCTACTTTTCTGTGGTACATATAAATTGACGTACCCTTCAGTGCACCTCATGAAGCAGGAAATGGCTCACAAGCAGTCATGCTGGAATAAAGGTGGTTCGTCTTCCAGGTGCCGCTTGACTCCTGTTTTATTCTGTGGGGCAGGCGAGGCTCAGAAAGCGGGGCTTGGCCACCCAGAGCCATCCAGCGAGCTCCACGGCAGAGGATCTGAACCCAGGTCCTAGTCAGGCACTCTGAACACTGTGGCAGACTGGATCTCTTCCACCAGCGAGATCCCTGCCTGGGTCCTCCTGCTTCTCGCAGCCCGATGACTGATGCCAGTTTACCCCACGCCTTCTGCAAGCCAGCGACACCTCACGAGCAAGGTTCCCTCTAAGCTGAGTTAGTGTGAGCTAGCTCAGTTTTTTCGCCTCTGGCTCACACATTTTTGTCTTAGCTCAGGAAAGAGGGCTCCAGAGCAACTTAAACTATGCAGTAGCCAAATGGCTCACTCACAACTTTAATGCCAGTAGCTCACAAAGTAGAATTTTTGCTCACAAAACTCCACAGCTTAGAGCAGTGGTGGCGAACCTATGGCACAGGTGCCAGAGGTGGCACTCAGAGCCCTCTCTGTGGGCACGCGTGCCATCACCCCAGCCAGGCCCAGACCATCATTAAAGTGTCGAATTCTCTGCCAAATAATTTTAAGTAAATGAAAGCATTTGGGATTGCTTTCCTTACTTTGTTTGGATAATCTTAAATTAATGTATGAGTTGTTTTTTCTAAAGTAAAACCTCAGTATTCAGGTTAAATTGCCGTGTTGGCACCTTGCAATAAATAAGTGGGTTTTGGGTCGCAGTTTGGACACTCGGTCTCTAAAAGGTTCGCCATCACTGGCTTAGAGGGAGCTTTGCTCACGAGCAGCACGGCCCTGCTGTCATCGTGTAACCTGATGTACACAATGCCCAGGGGCAGATCTACTATGAAACTAATGAAGAGGGAGGGCAGGAAGGGTTGCCTCTGTGCTTATTTCTCGTGGCCCTTTCTTACATGCCCAGGGAAATGCCGGTCGCCACTTTGGGGTCAGGAAGCAATTTTTCTCCAGGCCAGTTTGGCTGGAGATCCTGGAGGTTTTTTGTCAGTTTCTGGGTGTGGAACAGGGGTCACTGGGGGTGGGGTATTTGTGAATTTCCTGCCTTGTGCAGGGGGTTAGACTAGATGACCCTGGAGGTCACCATCCAGCTCTATGATTCTAAACTTAAGCTTCAGGGCTTAATCCTGGAGAGGCCCTGAAGCAACTTTTTTAAAAAATGGGTGAATGTTTCAACAAAATCGACGGAGGTTTTTTTTAAGTGTTTGTTGATAAAATAAGGCTATTTTAGTGACAGAATCATAAGAACATAAGAACACAAGAGATGCCAATGTTGGATCAGGCCAAAGGCCCATCCAGTCCAACACTCTGTGTCACACAGTGGCCAGAAATACCAGGGGCCATCAGGAGGACCAGCAGTGGGGCCAGGACACTAGAAGCCCTCCCACTGTTGCCCCCCCCCCCAAGCACCGAGAAGACAGAGCATCACTTGCCCCAGAGCCCCTATCTATACTTTGTGGCTAAGAGCCAGTGATGGACCTCTGCTCCATATGCTTATCTAATTCCCTTTTGAAGCCGTCCATGCTTGTAGCCGCCACCACTTCCTGTGGCAAACTTCAAACTTCAAATACCTTTTATTGACATACAATATCATAAGCCAATGGGTTGAAATACTTAATACTGACCTTAGAATATGCTCTGATACCCATTTCATGTGGCCTCAAAATGTCCCTGTGAAGGGTAAGATTTCAAAATTTTCTCGGGGGGGGGCCTGCAGGACCCAAACCCCCAGTTGTCTGGGCTCACCCAGGATCTATTCATAGCCTACATTTGGGCAGCTGGATCCTCAAATCCTTCCTTGGTGCACGGCTGGATAAGTTCTACCGTGCAGCCCTTAGCCAATCAGAACCTTAAAAAGCCATCTGAGTTCTCAATTCAGGCCCTTTGGACCTTGTCGGATGTTGCCCTGTCCTCGCTGGTTGAGAAGGGGGCCCCCGTAACAGTTCAAGCTTCAGGGAGCCAAAAACGTAGCCACTGACAACGATGCCTTCTGTGCCTCCCAACCAGTGTTCCCTCTAAGCTGAGTCAGTGTGAGCTAACTCACAGTTTTTTAGCCTCCGGCTCACACATTTTCGTCTCAGCTCAGGAAGAGCAAACTGATTGATGCAGTAGCGAAATCGCTCGCTCACAACTTTAACGCCAGGAGCTCACAAAGTAGAATTTTTGCTCACCAGACTCCACAGCTTAGAGGGAACATTGCTCCCGACCCCATCCCTCTGCAGTCGCCGCCGCCTCCCTAGTCCACACCAGTGTCCCCTCTAAGCTGAGTGAATGTGAGCTGGCTCACAGTTTTTTAGGCTCTTGCTCACACATTTTTCTCTTAGCTCAGGAAGGAGGGCTCCAGAGCACACTAATTTATGCAGCAGCCAAATCACCTGCTCACAACTTTAATGCAACGTGCTTTTCAATTTGGAGGAGGCTTGTAGCTCATCAAAAAACTTTTTGCAGCGTTCATTGAAAGAGAATTTTGGATTAAAACTTTGGTATTTAGCAACCTTGTGCTGAAAATTATTGTTGGACTCCCTGAGGAAGATTCTGAAACAGAAGGACATCTGGACCTCTGTTGGAGGAAGACAGAGCACATGTAAAGAGAATTTAAGGAGTCCTCCCTTTTGAAACTTTTTTACAGAGGAGGACTAGTATATATTATAAGGTTG